AAAAGATATTTCAGGTCCTTCTACCAAATTTTATTTAGTCATCCTTTTTTCTAATCCATTTTAGAAGGCATCCACGTCGCATGTTCTACATGGGTCCAAACCCAAGTTTGCAACCTAATCTGCATGTTCATGCACTTAAAACCTACGACATCCTTCACCTAGCCTCCTGAAATCACACACAGTTCTTGAAGCCATGATGTCCTACTATCATGAAGCAAGTAACGTCACGTTATTCTTCACCCCATTCCCAGATACAGTGAAACTGTTCACCTTGAAAATACAGGTCATATAAATACTTTTCTTCAACTGCAATCTATACCAGTGATTTAAGATAATCTGACTGTTTCCTGGTGAAGCAGAGCATTTAGCATGCACATGAAAAAGTCTGGTTTGGGATTGTTTTATTTCTACAATATTTACAATATGCGCATGCAATAAGCAAAAACATTTATTTTGCAGCCCTGTCACTTTTTTGCTTTAGATGAGTTCTTACTTTTAGTGTCCAGTCCTCCTCTGTAGCCTGTCCAGCCTTTCAAAGTAATTGTGTCACCCAAGAGATGCAAAAATCTTTGAAAGCTTTCACTTCCGGTTTCTACACACGGAAGGGAGAAATGTTACAACAGAAAAACACATGTAGTAATAGATCCTCTACAAAAAATAATCAAAATACAGGAACAGGTCCAGCTCCCAGGACATAAGGACCAAAGTTTCAGCTGAATTAGTTTCTCCTAAAGTTGTCCAACCCCTTTACCTTTACAGAAACAGCATCTCAGTCTTGCAGAATGCATCATCATATGACATTAAACAGTGACCTCTTTTGCTAACTCCACTGTTTAAGTGCACAGAAGAATGTGATCACGCTGCAAAAATGTAAGAGTGAAAGAACTAGAAACAACAGTGACTTTTTGCAGGTAACACGAGTCACCTCCTTCAACTGCTTCCTTTTTCTAAGTCTTACTTTGTATAGTCTAGTTCTAGAAAGAAATGTCGATACCTCCCAAGTTGTAATAGTAGGTTTCCTACAGCAACCTTCACAGAAATAGAAGATTCTACGCTACAACCTTTCACCCAACACGAACACGAAAACCTAACAAAACTACTGTTCACATAACCATCACCTCCCATCTGGCTTCCACCTGTAGGCACTATCCTACAACTGTTTTATTCAGATGAACAAAACAATTAAGAAAAAGGTGAAAAACTCACCATTGCTGAACATTTCATCATCTGTAAGCTGTCCATCCGTAGCATAAAGGACTCCGAATTTAAAATTCACAGATCCCTGAGAAATAAAACCAAATATTTTATGATAAAGCAATCAAACAAAAGACCTAAAATAATGTTTTCTTTAAGGACTTTTACATACGTACCTTTGTATACATCCTACACATGGTAATATACATTTCATACCAACTCCATTACATGCTCAAGTAGCAGTTACCTAATAATTTACCTTTGATCAAAGATTACGAAGTTTATGATATACTAAAGCGGTGATTTATTAATAAGATACGGTACGTTGGTGTTCAAAATTATTTTTGATTTCATATGTTGCAAAGAAATACTACAATTTTTTACTGCAATAAACAATTGATTTCTAAGCTGGCAAAAGCATGTCAGAGCAAATATTCCAAATACAAAGCCATATTCGTTGAACAGGTCTGTGAGCTAGGAGCGGTAATTTTACATTTACCTCTTGCTCTTCAAGAACCAATAAATCCTGTAAACAAAACAATATCTTTAGCACACTGGTATTAAAGATAACACAAATAAAAATGTAACATCTTTGTATATTTAAGTTTTGTTTTGAAGAGGCCATTTCAACTGATAAAGACAGCTTACTGTGTAGCATCATGTAACCCTACTCATTATTACTACTATTATCCTACTACTGAAAGAAACAAACTAGTAGCATTTATACTTAATGACTAATTTTTCCAAAAAATAATAAGGAAAAACAACAAACAAAACCAGAAGTCACCTCCTACCTTTTGTATTTCAGGATGAAAAATTTCCCTTGGGCTCTTCTCAAATTTGTCAAGATTCATAGCACTGAAATAGAAATGAAATACTGCTTTATAGAAGGGCAAGTATACATTTCAACATTAAACCACTAACTGGTTATAGTTAGAACCAGTTACAAAAGGAATCGTTCAAAGAGTCTCTCTTACATGCAACGTTTTGTGGAATAGCATTTCTTTCCCACAATACTAACCTCCAAGACCTCCTGAACTTCTTTTGGATTTACAAATGGAAATTAGTAAAATTCTGCATGGAGACGAGGTTTAAATTTACTGTATTTACTTAAAAAGCACAGAGCTTTATTCCATCACTCTTCACTTTGGCTTTATACGTAATCATTGTGAGCATCTTAGGAGGACTCAATAACGTATTCTATTTCGTAAGCATTTCTTCTCTCTTCTAAAATAATTCAAGGCAAGTCAAATGAAAAACAAGCAGTTCAGCATCAAATTCACATGCCAAAGATCCACAAACAGAACAGAACAAAATATTTAAATAAGAAGCAAGATCAACTGCCTCAAACAGAAGTATCTAATTTATGACATTTTTTTCTAACTCATGTTTCTGCATTTACCATTATTTTTGCCCATTTATTTTCCCTAGCATTAATTTATAGAACTGTGCACACATCATGGAGTGCTGAACGCAGTGTCTGGGACACAGTGAACTAATAGGGAGGTCAAATTCAATTCATCTTTCCATCATTGCTTATGCTAGATCACAATGCAAACAGGATTTGCTCTAGTTCCTTTTGAAAGCGATTAAAATGTTCCAACTAATTTAGAAAAAATAGGTTTATTAATGTAACCAAATTTTTTTGGGACAGTCTATATCTAGATTCACACCAGCTGTGAACAGGGTGAAACGTCAAAGGAATATCAAGGAGGCGTGAGGGAAGGCTCAAGGACGGTAAAAGCAAAAGAATAGCCAGGGGAGAGATTTTAATCCAAGCCCAAGTGGGTAAAAGGAGATGACATTTATCCAGCTGATCATAGGTGGCACAGACCCTGGGAGAAGTGGGGAACAATGTCTGAAACAAGCCTGAATTTTCCTCTGTAAAGTACTGGAGCATCACAGGATGGAACACACGAGGGTGTTCCAGCAAGAGTTACGACCCTAGCAAGCAGAAGACAAAGTTTCTCCACTCTGGGATGCCTGACCAAAAATTTACATGTAGGTGAGGTGGAGAGAAAGGCTGGTTTAAAAAGGGATGTTAAGAAGAGATATTTCAGCAATTGTTGGGCAGACTTGGAAGACCAGGTGCTTATGCAGGTATAGCATGCAGTACTAACAACTAGGAACGCTATTTAAGAGTCAGAAGAGGGGACTTAGCTCATCTCAATGAAGAAGATGAAAGAGATCTGAAGTCTTTTGAACTCATCATCTTGACACTCCAAACCAGAGCCCAGGAAATCAGAATGAAGAAGTGAGGCAAGAATTAAGAAGTGTTAGCCTCTCTGGCAAATTCAGTGGTCTGGGACCTCTCAGAAATCTTATGCGGTTGTAGAAAAATCCAGATCTGGTAGCAGTGACTTCATATCACATCACAACACATGTCCTGTTCCCAGAATTCTCCTTTCGTATCAGCACTGGCAGTGTTATCCAGCAGATCAGCTTCAACCAAACAAGAGACATGCTCATACTCTTTACAGATGAAAGGTTTTGAAGACCTGTAAACTGTCCATTTATCTGGTACACACTACCTGTTCAGTAAAGGAAGGCACTTTTTATGGGCTTCTAAAGCAGGTAAAATCCTTACAGAAGACGCATTTGAAAACACTGTCAGTGAGGGATTTGAGAAAACACATCACATGATTAGATCGTAAAGACTGCAGATTAAATTTGAACGAACACTTTGCAAACAGGTGCTCTAACATTTCAGCCGATTATAATGTCGAAAGACACAGAAAGAATGTTGGGCTTGCTCACTTTGTATGCTTTTCTGCCACAAAAGAGGCAGGACAGAGTATGAGCACGCCCACACAAACTGGCTGGGGGAAGGAATTTTCTTGGCCTCCCTGACTGTGTGTAACACACTCATAGTGAGGCTTACATGGAGACAATCAACTGAAGGAATAATTCTTGGTTTCTTCCCTGTTTGCTTCCTCCTGCTAGGGCAGCATAACAACTATCTCTGAAGGCAAAATCTGCTGTTCCTTAAGTCTGTTTATTGTCTATCCAATTTAAAAAGATATTTCTTCTCAACCACTACAGTTTCACTTCGCATCTGTTTTCCAATTAACTTGAAAACAGTCCCTCCGCTGAAGAAAAAGTGCTAAGAATTTTTTCTCCATTTTAAGTTGTCATTTTGTCTATTCCAGAATAGGCTTTAAAACCACTTTTCACTGCCTTCAATGATTAAGACTTGTAAACCTGTTTTTACTGTTTCTATAAATCTATCATGAAAACCATGCAACACAAGCTCTGAATTACAGCAAAAGGTGTACAGACAAGTACCTTAACTGATAGATAAATTGTAAATGCATACCTTAATATAGATTTCACTGATAATGTTTTTGTGGGACTATAAGGGAGACATATCTTCTGAGTACCCTACAAAGAAAAAGAGCTAGGAGATATTACAGGACATACTGACTTTTTCTGTAAATTCAAATAGGAACATTAATAAAACAATTAAGTAAAAAAAAAACAACAAAGAACAAAATGGTGTTAGTTTTACTTAGTTATATTTACTACTGGTTTTGAAAGGTAAAAAACCAAACCAAACAAAACAATCAAACCTAAATGTGAAAAGTCATGGATGGTGCAAAATTAGTTTTTACTTAGTTTTGACTACCTTGGCATGTGGTATGAGGGCTGATGAAACTAGCAGACATTACAAACTATTTCTTTTAAAAGAAAAAAAAAAAAGTGAACCATGCATGCATAGAGGAGTTTTAAATCAACTGCTTGGAGAAAAAGCTCTTATGGAACATTAAGTGGAAAAAAAAAAAAAAAAATCATTAAACAGTATAAGTGAGACCAGTATCACACCTGCCTATTTTCTTAGCGTTGTATAAGAAAATCCTAAAATCTGTATAAAGTCATTGCCTAACTTGATCACAGGACATAACGAAGAACGATTTAGGCAACAGTCCTAAAAATAACGTCAAGTTGCAGGTAAGAACAATTTAAAAATACCTGGCATCACAGATTTCTGTCAGAAGGCGTAGTATAATGTTACCTGCAAAGCTAGTTTAATCTACTATGGTAGAATTATATGTTCTTATTGTATAAAATAAAAAATATGTATTAAATATTGAAATTCTGAAGAATGAAAAAAAGCATATGATAAACATATCCAAAACAAACAAGCAAACAAAAAAAAAAAGTCAGAGTAACAGTTAAATACTTGTTTCTTACTGTTTTTCTCCAAAGTATTGAACGGTATTGAGGAACATGCTGATTATTTTGGTCAGACAGCACAACAGACAGAAAGAAAGGGTTCTTCTCTGTGTCTGTACCTATATAATTTTGATGAACTGTTAGGGAAAAACAATAAGCATTATCAGCTGCAGAGAAGATACACACACCCGCTTGCACACGCACACACGCACGCACGTGCACACAGCGAGACGTGTACAAATGTGTAAATATATGCATTCATATGCAAAAATATATACTTATCTACATAAATAACTATGTATTTATATACAGATGTGTAAAAAACCAAGAGATAGGTACAGCCCTCAAGGCCAAGAAGGGTTTCAAAATATCCCTTTTTGGTAGCATGGGTTCCAGCACTTACAGAAACTCATCCTCTGTTTTCAGGTTAAAAACACATGAAACAAGAACTTGTTTTCTGTACAGGACAGAAAATGTATTAATACTAAATTAATATCGTACTTCTTTCTATATTTAAATAATAGCAATTCAAAGCTACATTGCATTTTCATTCATCAAAACTTCAATCCATTCACAAAAAGATAACTACCTTTCCCTAAAAAATATTTGAAATACCATCTTGTATGATACTCTGGGTTTTCCAAATGCACGTCCGTTCTGTGCCATGTACCTGGAGTGTAGTCTATATTCTGAAATAGAATTGGGAGGAGACTGTCAGATCAAATGCTGAGTGAAAAAAAAGGAGAACATAATATAGGCAAAAGCCAATTAAGAGTGGCTGATTCACCAGAAGAGTTTTAGCAAACTTTAAAAGCAAAGAATTATTCTGTCAGTTGTTGTGCACCCGAAATTGAAATTTCTCCCTCTTCCATGTTTTCTCTTTTCCTTCTAACTAACTACAGTCTTTTCCTATTGTACCACAGTTATGGATAATTGCTTAGTATTCCACTGACAAGTAGATATTTCAATGTGGAATTTGAAGATCAGTGTTTTTAAAACCTAAAAATAAACAAATTAACAAACAGAATTCTGTCTCCAGGTTTCACTTTCTCACTTCTTCCCAAAATAATCCTCAAGGTCTCCTTGCTAGACCAGAGCATGCTCTGGAAGTTCTTCAGTGTTGTTTCTGGATTGGCTGCTTAAGGTAAATTCCCAAGCATCCCTCAAGTCCTTTTCCACTAAGAATTAATATAGGCAGAAAAAGAGCCATTGTCCACATCCATTCACCACGTAGCCATCCATCACCCACTCAGAGAATCTTTCTCTGATACAAGCTAAGCAGCTTTTGAAACTCATGAAAGTGAACTAAAAAGACAGTGTACAGAACATGACTTCACAGAGATTCAATGCAGAAGTTAGTTTGCTTTCAACTCTTCACCCAGTGCTGATGCAAACAGATATCAGTAATAGTTTACTGTTAATATTAGCTCAACACAAGCTTACCAAGACCTTACACCTGACGTATTTCAAGAATATAAGGTCTTCTTTCAATATTAAGATGCTATTTATAGCTGAAAAAGTTTTTCAAAGAAACATAAAAAATGAAGATAAGTAGGAACCTAAGTGTCACTGGAGTGGTTGCAGGGACACACAGCGAGTTTAACAGCATAGGAATCTGGAGGGAATGACTCAGGCTTTACTCAGCTTCTTTATCTCTTATTCAAAGATAAGCAGAGCTGCCAAAAGACAACTAAGGGGGAAAAAAATGAAGCTATAACCTCATCACATCGAGGAATAAACTTAAAAGCACAAAGGTCAGCTTGAACATAGTACTATCACCAGGACAGCAATATAAAGCGATGAACTAGAGACAGCAAAGTGTTATTCAGAGGATAAGAGAGGTATTTTTCATCTAACATGATCAGGTGAGCAAAATGTTACCGAATTAAATGAAATACCAGCTTTTCCCTTAAAAAAAATAAATTGTTGAGATTGCATACTCTTGAAAGAAGAGCTAAGTTAGACTTCGGGGGAAAATCCTTCTCTTAGATTCTTACATGCTCATATTACTTAGCATTTCTCAGGTTCTCTTTCTTAGTAATTGACTGCAAATAGATCTTTCAGTGGTGAAGAATAACTGAAGTTGAATTATTTTTTCAGCTTTCTGTAAGTATCTTTAGCCACTTACCTCACCAGAGGAGCCGTTTTCCACACGGAACCGACCAGCTCTTTGAATGGCTCCATCAGCATCACTAGATATAAGCTATAAGAGAGTTTAAGATAGAGATTCTAGTTCAAAAAATAGCCATAAGATCAGCAATCAAAGTTCACTACAGTTTCTTCTCCCAGGCATCCTGTGACTACTCACAGAGAAGGGATCAGCACAGCTATTACTAATTTGACTACAGATTTGGAATGACCCAATTATAACTCTACAGTGGCATGAGCGGGAGAGTCATTCACTCTTTTGGTAGATCCCAGTACTAATCAGAAATTCCCGTCTCAGATATTGGCTGCACCAACACACAGAACGCCTACAGAGGGACTGGTCCACTTTCCAGAAACTGATCTTGAAGCTTGCTCCCTTCAAAACAATGGGTCTTACAGACATGATGATTCTTGTCCTCTCAGCCTTGCTAAGCCTAAAACTCTACTTGTAGGCAGTATTACCGGGGCCAGCAGGCTTTTACTGCATTTTATTTATTGATGTTTTCAGGAGGCGAAGAGCAGAAAGAACCTCCAAACATAATACTCAGTGATCATACTGAGCAACATAAGGTACAGGAGATGTCCTTCCAGCATTAACATCACAAAATATGGCTTGTTTCCAGCTGAAGACTTCAACAGTTTCATAAATACTCTGGAAAGACTGCCTGCTCTTTTTATAAGGGAATACAGGGATTCCCAGAACACTGAAACTCTCTTTGTTGTTATAAAAGTTCTTGAGAAGTCAATAAAACATAGGATAACACAACAATTGGTGGAACAGTTACTACAACATTTTCAAGTTCTCTTTGCTCCTTGCTTTGAAGTGATCTGAGGCTATTAGGAATAAACTAACATGGCAAAAACTCCAACACAACCAGGTGGCTTGTATAAACTGTAAGATAAATTATACGGACAACTGGTCATATTACACCAGTGGGAAAGACAAAGGAAAAAATGTTTAGGGCAGAGCCACAATAATTGTGTTGTAATAAGTAAAAGGTGGAAACAATTGAGCAACTGAGATGCTGCTGTGGAAGATATTAGGCACAAAAGGTTCAATATTAAACATTTAGAAACTTGAAAGGGCAACAAGCACCTCTAAACATTTTACTCCAAAAGATAAAAAGACACACTTTCATAAAATACTAGCAGAGTTTTAAGAAAACCAAAAGATGAGACCATTTGGGTGAGCTTACTGTGAATTTATAATTATCAATAAATTTTTCTTTTCCAGCAAAAGAATTTAAGTTCTAGTAACGAAAAAGCCTCTTAGCAGAAAGCAGTTCACTTGCTTTTTTGATTAAAACACCACATCTAATATGTGGAATGTATGGAAAGAAAAAAAAGATACGTAGTGCTCTTGCATAGCAACTTCCAGCAACTAAACCACCAATTTACACCCAATTTACATACATATTAATAAATATACTATCCAAGAACTTTAAATTACAACTATAGCTAGCAGAAAATTACTGATTTCTTTCCACAGTAAGAGAGCTGGAGTTCAGTTTCTTTACTCCTCCCCACTTCTGTTTTCCTGTAGCAAGTTTATGCAACTTCATTATGGCCTTGTACGGAGTGACGTTATTTTAACTGCTAACATCCTGCTATTTTCACAGCAGAGAAGAAATCTATATATGAGAAAAATGAAGTGCCAACTTAATCTTTGAATTCGAAGAAAATGCAGGATAGTTGACAGATTATAGGGAACAGTTTTCAATATCCTTATTCTGACTAGTTCTTTTAATTTTAAACCTTCTCCCACTACTCTGAAGCACGTACACATAAAATCACATACACATATCTGTATACACATGAGCATGCACACAGTCTGTAATTCACATAATTGCACGTACTTCATCGAATACTACCCTAATATTTTGCAATCTTTAGCTTGTAACAGGAAAAAAAGGCTCTATTTCCACCTGGGGATAGACATGATATTTATATAGCACAGGTCTAATGCATCTATTTTGAAGCCTCTTTTTATTACCCTATAACTTTCAAGTCCAGCTTAGAAAGCACATTTTCCAAACTAGATCAAAATTTTTACCTGGAAATGAAAAGGATTGGAGGTCTGCATTATAAGCTGCTAAAATCAAAGGACAGGCTATGTAAACTTACAAGCTCCACAGATCCGTAATGCTTTCTGCTAAACTCTCCACGTCTGCAACCCAGATCTTCAGAGACAGAGCTGGAATAGAAATGCTTCATCAGTGTACACAAGTTAAATAGCCTTAGATCTCCTGCAATGCTATACCCTGCCATTAAGAAATATCATACACAGCACATAAACTCATTACTGCGGGGAACACTCCTTACAGTGTGCACAATCTCTAGCAGCCGTTGCAGTCTTGATTTCATATTACCATCAAAGGAAAAGAAATGTCTGCTTCCTGACTGGAAGCAAAAGCTATGATTAAATTAAATATTTAGTCATGATGCGATCAGAGTTCCAAAGTGGGTAGGGGCTTATAACCACATTTGAAATCTGTGTTTAATCTAAGGGAAGAAAAACCTACAGTAAACTTAATGCCTCAAATAGTACAACTGCATTACGCTCAATAAGCTCACGCTTAGTATGTTGTCACTAATTTTTTTCAGAGTCTTTTTTTTGCCTGCACAGAAAGAGAAACTAAACAATTACTTTAATTCAAAAGCGTAAGGAAAGAACAGCATTTCATAGGTTTCCCTCAACAACCTCAACAAAGATAAAACTGTCGAGCAATCAAAAGTAATCCTAGAATGTGAAGTTCAAAATCTACATCTATTCTCACATATATTCTCATACCATTGTGTCACATTAAGCACATCACTACATGCTTCACGAGGTCAAAACAGATAACAAACACTTCCTCTACCTAGAAACACTAAGCCTTCTGCCTTTGCAATGGGGATATACACGTTACAAATACAAGCTAAATAAAGATTTAGATGCAAATTTAACATAAACCTAGATTACCCAGTCCATACCAGGGCTAGCAGCTCAATCCGTCTATCACATTCCAAACTTACAATTTACTCTTCAGCCAGCAGTGATGAAAATAAAGTCATTTAATTTTAATGTACAAAACCCAAACAAAACAAGAAACCCTCCACCCAGAGTTAAATAAAAGATTAAATTTTCTGAAAATTATCAGTACTGTAAATTGCAATGTTATATCTAAATTTTAATGCAACATCCTCATATGTGCTCCTTGACTGTACAAGACACTGTGACACCAGACTCTGAAACATTTTAAGTTTTAGACTCCATGTCTTCACCCAAGGAGATGCAATACAAACAAGACATATCCATTAAAACTTTAAAACTCACCAAAATATTCTAGTATTTGCTTCCAGTACGTAAATTATGTGGAAAGGATAAGAACATGACAATAATAGTAATTTTAAACGACGCACACACTGAAGCAGGA